TTGAGCTGCACAAAAAATCCCATCAATATCAGTCTCACATAGGTGTCAGAATTAATTGTTTATGTGCTGAATATGGGCCCATTAATTTGTTTAGAATTTATTATACACCACATGCTGAATTTTATGTCATGAAGGGGAACTTATGTTCAGAAATAATCCTGCTACCCAAGTCACATGGTTATAAAGTATGAGCTACAAGTCTCCTTGTGTGGCTAAGTTTAAGCAGTTTCATTGTTTTGGCTGCTGACGATTTTGAGATCCTGGTTTCTTGTGCTAGGCATCTCATTGATTTCTGGTGTGTTCTAATGTAGCCCGTTTTATCTTTTCTTTTTTATACGCACAGTATTTTTTAGGTTTCTTGTGCAGAAGTGGCCAGGTAAACCTGATCTTCTTAATAAGTTTTTGAATGTCTGTTGTGCTTGGAACTGTGATCCCAGGAAATTTATGACCAAATTTCCTCAGACACTTTCTAGCATAACCACATTTCACATACAGTTCATACAGATAAACATGCTGTTCAGCGGTTCATCAAACCATATCCACACACCATAATGAGTACTTTATGCAATGTTAGATACAGTTGTACTGTTGTGTGAATAATTTTAGCGGCAATTGACTACACTTACACACACTGAAGGTGGCCAAAGTCTGAGAATCAGAATATCATGAGTTACACCAGTCATTAAAAGCTGTTGTGTTGCAGCCAGGGACTGGCAGATAATTCAGTGGTCGCCAAAGTAAATGGAGAACTATGGGATTTAGGCAGACCTTTAGAAAAGGATTCTGAACTTCAGTTACTGAAATTTGATGATAATGAAGGTAAGTGTCAATGAAATTTAGATATATAAACATTTGTTGTAAGGGTATTTTTGTTACTACCTTGTGCTTTGAGTGTGTTCTTATGTGAGACCAAAAACCACAAGTCCTTCAGATTGGAAGTAAATGAGAAGAAATTAATCTAATGTTTACACTGCTGATGAGCATTGTATTTATCTGTTGTCTGAAGAAATATTTTCAAAAATCAAGATAAAATCTGTCATTATTTCTGAGGAAAAATTGTTGCTATATTGCAATGGTTTTAGAGTGGTAACAGAAAATGAACGGTCAGATAATAGAACCACCATATTGGTATTTCCCAGTATATAATAAAAAGTTTATGCGTCTTGAATTTTAACATGTTACAGCCTTCCATTATACCATATTTATATTCCTGAACCATATAATTAAAAGAAATTTGCCGGTGATGTTAGAAAGTCAGACACTGCCTTGAAATACAGTGAAACCAACATGACACCTCTAGAGCAGCTAAAGGAAGTTATAAAGCCAACTATGGAAGTTTATAAAAATAATAATTAAAATTCTGTGATGCTGTGTACAGAATGTTAACACATTGCATTATAATATTGTTAAATGTAGGTGCAAGTTGGGTCTTTCTTGATAGTCTGACATCTTATTTGCCACTTACCTCTGTTTTTCACATGTGAATTGAACATGTTAAGCAACATTTTAAATTTGAGATTCAAATTATGCAAAAAGGAGGAAGATTTGTCCTTGCTGTGGTAGAGTGTCATTCAAGTAGTAGTTTTTGAGAAAGTGTAATTACAGTGTCTGTTTTTAGTAATATGGCTGTGTGTGCAGAAATTTATTTGAAGATTTGAAGATTAGCAGAAAAGTAGGGTACTTTTTATATATATATAACAATGATGAAATTTTTATATTTCAAAACAGATTTTGTAGTTGAGTTAAGATTTGAAGGTTAGCAGAAAAGTAGGGTACTTTTTTATATATATATAACAATAATGAAATTTTTGTATTTCAAAACAGATTTTGTAGTTGAGTACATTAAAGGGCACGTTATGTATTTGTGCTTTCAGTTCAAATGTTTTATAAATTCAAGTAAATATTCTAACTTGTCCTTACTGATGGTAAGTTTTATTTCTATCAGGGCAGCAAGTATTCTGGCATTCAACAGCGCATATACTGGGTGAAGCTATGGAGAGAGTGTATGGAGGCTGCTTGTGCTATGGACCCCCGATAGAGAATGGATTTTACTATGATATGTTCATAGATGATAAACAAGTAAGGTTATCTTGATACTGTCAGCCTCTTGATTCCAAGGACTGTGTTTAATGTTGTGATGTAATCAGTTATTACACAGTGGGTTCTTTATATGAGATGGCTTTATTACACCCTTTTATGAGTACATTTTATTAATTCCATGGTTTAATACCTGATACTATGCAAATCACAATGCTGATTATCTGGATAGAAAAGTTCTGTGCTCAGGTTCTGTCACTCAGCTCTCCACTTACTTCTTGCGCCTTGCTGCATCACTTATCATTTAAACACTGGGCCCTCGGCACCACACGACTCCATGCTTTTATGACCCACAACTGTTCCAGCATGGCATAGAGGACTGGAGTTGCTTCTAGAACAGTCTGCCATGTTCTGTAAGCTGCAGACCAACGCTTTCTGGTGATGCAATTCTGAAGCTTGGAGAACACTGCATATTGATGTCACTGTAAGGGGGTTCTGCCAAGGCTCTTGTCACAATATGTTTGATTTTTTGGCATGAGATTATGTCTGTGCAGCATGGATTTTCTTATAATTTTTAAGTGGGGGCAGGTTCTGAAGTACAGTGATTCCCAAACATAACTATCTTCTGACCTGTGTCAATTCAGAATTAATTCTGAAACAATGAATCCATAAGGCATTTGGTAGGATTGTTTGCATAGAAACTGTACCATTGCAAGACCTCTCCTTACACAGGGCAACACAGCATATAAAAATATATCTCCTGAGTGGGATTTGAAAACACAATGCTGTAATGTGCACAGTATGCAGAAAGCAAACCCACACGATTCTACAGAAAGCAACAGTTGTTCACCAGTTCCAGGTACACAATATATATAGAGACGTAACCCAGTCCTGACAGGTAGTCGGTGCCATGATGTATTCTGGCAGTGTTTTAATTTTGTAACCTGGAAAGTCTGACCTAGAAATTAATTGTTGTTGTTTTATACTCACTCATTTTTGTGCATTTGAAAAAAGAAATTAATTGTTATTTCGTACTCACTCATTTTTGTGCATTTGAAAACCAAGTTTTTGTCTTGTCACCAGAATGCAGTTTTAAATCATAAATGTGTTTTAATAAAGATGATGATAAATTCTTTAATTTTGTAGGAAAGTTTAAATATTTCTGAAGAACAAGAGCAAATCAAAGAGATTAGGAATATATTTTGCCATTTTGTTTAGAATCTTTGGTGTTCTCATTTCCAGTCTAACATTATAAATTGTAAATATACAAACTTTAAATTTATCAAGGAGGATGAAATTGACTGGTTGTGTAGCATGCATAGGAGAGGTAATAAATGCATACAAAATTTATTGGAGAATCTTTGGTGTTCTCATTTCCAGTCTAACATTATAAATTGTAAATATACAAACTTTAAATTTATCAAGGAGGATGAAATTGACTGGTTGTGTAGCATGCATAGGAGAGGTAATAAATGCATACAAAATTTATTGGAAAAGCTGATGGGAGGAAACCATTTGGGAGACCTAATCATAGGTGGGAGGATAATATTAAAAGTAGGTTTTAAATAAATTTGATATATGGATTGAATTTATCTGGTGTATGGTAGGCTCTGGTGACAGGCTCTTGTGAACACAGTAATCACTGGTGATTAACATGACTGATCATTGGTTTCTCGAAGATGCTGCTGCTTGGAAGTATTTATTTATTTTTTGCAAGAATTGAATAGTAGGATTTGAGGTTTCATGGTGGTGAGTCTGAAGATGGCCGTCTTGTGTAACGTTGGTAAACTTCTGCCAGACTACACAGTGAAACATCCCAGAAGACAGCCATCTTAAGAGTCGAATATTTCATTACAGCCAGTCCTTAGAAATTTTTTATAAATACTTGTATATTTTTACCATGAACTCCTTTCCCTTATTCAGTGTCTGATATTCTGTAGCTACTATCAGTAAGTAGAATTGATATCTATCTGCTCTAATTTGGAAACAGGTCTGAATTCTGAAGGAAACTTTTGATGATCATGATGATAAACATGTTAGAATTGATTTGTGTGTGTGTGCATGTGCACACACTTTTATATAATATAAACATAAGTTGTTTTATTGACTTGTCATTGTTTGTGTATTTTTGCTGTTTTTAGGTATCTAACTTAGACTTCCCAGTTGTGGAAAATATAATGAAGCTCATTGTTAAAGAGAAGCAAAATTTTGAACGTCTTGAACTGAGAAAGGAGGATTTGCTAGAGATGTTCAAGGTAAATTATAAAGCTAGAAATTTCCTTTATGTAAATTAAATGTAATAGGTGATGGATGAAGTTAGCGTATTTAGACCAAATATTTGTTGTGTCTTTGAAAAACTGGGCTCCATGATTTGTAAGCAGAGGCTGTGAGGATGGTGCCTCTTATCTTTATGTGAACTTCACCTTATCACAAGGGAGGTTCTTGCAGCTGCCATGCACTATAACCATTATTTCTGGTGCAAAGGAAATTCCACTACCTAAAGTTAGGTTACTTTGGATTTAATTATACTTCGAAGGTTTTCAATTTTATTTGGTATTTGGTGTGTTGGTGGTCATGTATAACTTTTGTGGCTGAGTCAACAAACTCTCTAACTTGAAATCATGTTCTAAAAGTGTTAATCATATAATGTGATTAAATAATTACATGTAATCAGAAGTGCTCAGCAAATGATTACCGTGTCTTTCAGTTTTGGTTTGTAGTTGTCATTTTTGGAGGCCAAACAGTTTCTTCATACAAAAGAGTTTTGGAAACACTATCATATATTTGAATTTACATGTTATTTCCTTGAAAATCTAATTCCTCTTTTGACATCAGATATTTCCTTGCTGAATAAAGTCCTGCTTGATGTACTACACAACTTTGTGATTAATGTAGTTCTTGCAGCATACTGTAGCACCTCTACTGATTTGTAATATACTTTCTTTTAAACTAACAATAGTGTATGGCCTGTCAAAGTTGGCAATAACAAAAACTTTTTTGTGTTGAACTGTAATACGATTTATTGCAACATTATTTTTGCAAATTACTTTGAAACTACAAGATTTATAATATTTCATTTTAAATTAAATTAAATTAAATGTTAAAACATTTCACAATTACTGAAGCCAGATTCCTGCGAAATGCACCAACACAACAGTGCCTGCTTGTCTCTTAGACTCAAAGTCCCCTTCCAAATGCAGGTTCTGCTGGACCCCACCATAGCCTCTTTTGCATTTCTTGCTACCAAAGTCACCACCATCAGAACATAATTTTAATATTTTCCTCATCATGCAAATAGTGCACTTTTGCAGTGATGACACTGGCTATTATATGAGTAGAAGATTGATTTAATTTTGGGTGAAAAGAAAAAAATTATTGCTCTTATTTTCTGTGCATGTTTTCAGTACAATCAATTCAAAGTACGCATACTCAATGAGAAAGTGAACACTCCGACAACAACTGTATATCGGTGTGGGCCACTTATTGATCTCTGCAGAGGGCCACATGTGCGGCACACTGGGAGAGTTAAGTCCTTTAAAATTACCAAGGTGAGCAATTTATGTCCCCAGCTTCCATGCTACTTTAGCTGTACGAGGTGTTTCAGTTCAGTGTCATTGTATTCCCCTCAAACTCTTTCATTCCATTTTTCTCCCTCATTTTTTTTAAAATTCATTCTCTTTTATTTATATGATATAATTTCTTAACGTTATCTTGCATATTTATTTACTATCTGTCCATATTTGAAATCTGATCATATCTCATATTTTTTGTTACCCGTTATGTATCTGGGTTACTGAGTTTTTGGACTTGTCCATCATCTGATATTAAAATAAATACAAAACATTTAGAGAACCAGCTCTGTACTTGTCCTCAGATCTAGGGAAGAGGAGCACCTATTCTGTTGGGTCCATTAGAAAGATCTAACCTCAGTGACTAGACCAAGAACCCAGTAATCCAGATTTCAATATACCATTGTCAAAACCCTTTGGAATCGATTTGCCAGTAATGAAGTTTAACTTTCATACCGATTTACAAAGGATATCAGAGTTTTCTGTGTGTTTTTTAGTGTATGAAACACATATTCTTTAAGCAAATTGCAGCAGCACTGCCAGTTTTGTTGGGGCAGACTGATGGAGCCTTGCGTGTGGATGCTACAATACACAATTTAAAAAGTATTTTACTTTTAAAATATTGCATTGTCTCAGAATTGGTCATATTCTTTGTTATAACCAAAGTAATGAAGGAGTGGAATGTTAGAACTGGATTAAACTTGCCCAAGATAGTTTGCAGGGGAAACTTCTGTGATGGTTATGAACTTTCATGTTCCATAATAAACTATTTCTTAGTGTGCTGTTTAACTGTTTACTGTTCAGGAAAGACTGTCCGCCATGCTATTGGTGAGTAGTTATGTACAATGATCAAATTTAACCCAGAACTTTGATCATAGCATGTCGGTAACATTTCTTGCCTATTTCATATTGAACATTTTTCTCAGGGTACTCTCCCTGTACATGTACATACTTGTTATTGGCCTGTGTCAAGTTTGAACATCCCTTATAATTGGATTTACTACACTTTAATTTGTATTCTGAATTTTTAATCTTCAGTACCTTATGGTATAAGAATACTTGAGTTGTAATAGGCAATTTTTATTACAGAATTCTGCTACATATTGGGAAGGTAAGAGTGATGCTGAGTCTCTCCAGCGAGTTTATGGGATATCATTTCCAGATAACAAGCAATTAAAGGAATGGGAGAAATTCCAGGAGGAGGCTGCAAAGCGGGACCATCGGAAAATTGGCAGGGTTAGTAGATGTGTTCTTGATTTGAAACAATGAGTTCTAAACTTTGGTAGTTTTACAAATTGTAGTAAAAGTCTTTCATGATACAAGTTTCTAAAATCCAAAAATATGCTTTGTTAATGAAGTATGGAGTTCGTGAAAGTGTATAATATGGGTTGTATTGAGTATTAAATCATAGATTTTTTTTATTCGTGTTACTTCACTGCTGTTCAGCATGGCAGCTGCCTGTAACTGTTGACTTTGTCGTGGATGAATTTGACTCTGTAGTCACTTGTTTTTCAGAACTATTTTATAAATATTACTGGTGTTTTGAGCATGCTTTTTTTACAGGAACAAGAATTGTTCTTCTTTCATGAATTGAGTCCTGGATCGTGTTTCTTCTTACCTCGTGGTGCACATGTGTACAACGCCCTTGTGGATTTCATTAAGTCTGAATATCGGAAACGGGGTTTCCAAGAAGTTGTCTCACCCAATATCTACAATTCCAAATTATGGCAGACTTCAGGACATTGGGCACATTATGCAGTGAGTTTTAGAGATCATGCTATAAGATTTAATTTGTAAACGTTTTTATAGTTGATCTTCTGGTTTCTTTAGCCAAATGTTTATTCCAAAAATAGGAATGTTTATCTTTTTACTACTCCCATCTGTAAAGTGTATAATGCATACACATACTTTTTCACACACTTTATCTGTTAATTTGTATGATCATTACTAGAACTATAATCAGTATTTTGGAAATTTGATGGTTAAATAAAAATATGAACTTTCAGATTGTAATGTTTTTTAAAGTGTGTAAATTAAGTAATTAATTCAAGTGCAATTTATTTTAAGAACAAACCATTTCACGTATACATGCAACTAGTAAAAGGTAATTGACACAATAAACTGTCTTGAAATAGATATAAGAAACTAAATACAGTATTATTTTTCTAAGACATTCCTGCCTCATTGTCAAACATTTTAAAGATAAATAGTTTTATTACTTCTTCAGATAAAATTCATAGATACAGTTATTCAACTCAGACATAAACTTTTCCCAATCCTTCATATTGGCCCAGTTTAGGTCCACACAATGCATTTATGATAAAACTTGCATTGTTAATCTTTGTCTTTCCTCCATCTTGGAACATTGAGACCAGAAACTTAACTGTCGAAGTGCGTAAAATCAGTTACATGTAACTGTTCAATATTAACAGTAATGCTGTATGCCATACCTTACATTACTTACTAATAATCGCTGGCAAAGTTTCATCGTGCTAAGGAAATGTGACACCTGTGGCATACTTCTTACTTACACTTCAGGCAAAACTTTCTTTGCTTGATTGGTACCAGCAATGTTGGACTTAGATTCATTCTTGATGGGTATATTGTCATTACTAAATGAGCATTACAAGCAGAGCTGTGTGCAAGTACAGCAGTCGATATATTGTCATTACTAAATGAGCATTAAAAGCAGAGCTGTGTGCAAGTACAGCAGTAAAGGCAAGCGAAATTTGATCCGACTTGCTTTCAGAATATTTTGAAAACATTGTGGTGCTCTGTGGATTTACAAGTTTCTAGATGCAGGACTTCTCAAATACATCTGTTTTCATAAATATTTTCCTGTTTATTATTGTTATTTAATTTCACTGATGAAATCTTTTGTGGTCTAGTGGTAAATAACTTGTCCATGAATTTGGTGTTTCATTTTGTTGTAAACTTATGTTTGTACAACACTCAATGAAGGTTTTTTACAAAATAGAACAAATTAATAAATTTTAGAGTGTAAATAGAACATTCTGCCTTTTGCTAACAATATGGTCCCTTTAGGGCCTTCCCATTCTGTTGGAAATAAAAAAAAAGCTTCAATTAATGTTGAAATCTCTTGAGGAACAGTAGTATGAAGGAAAAGAAGTTCATTGTTGTGCCATCTCATCTTCTAAGAAGCAGCTTTAGTGTATAAGTGAAATATTTGTGTGCCTTTTGTGCCTCTATGAGTTCTGTTTTAGTAAGTTTGTGATTTTTTACATAAAGTACTGTGACGTGGCGCCGCCGCATAATGTTCCAGACAGTGCATTCCCGTCCTTACCAGAACCTTCCAGTAACCTAATCTGCTAGATCCTTGATCTGGAATATTCTGCGACTGGGCTGGCGAATATAAGGATAATTGCCTGTATGTGTATTACGAAATAAATCAGGGTTGACATAATGCCCATAGCAATAGTCGAGGCGTCGACATCACAGTATTTTAGAGAAGAAGGGCAGTTATGTCAAAATTAAGATCATACCATCTGGAAGTATGTGACTGTATCATCTCTTTGTCTACTGAACAACTATTTCCTATGTTGATTTAAAACTGCAGAACCATCACTGTTGTAAAATGTTTATATTACATTATTTATTTGACAAAATAATTTTAATTCATAATAATAAAACAAGTTTATGTATATCAGTGTTTTGTTTTGGTCACATGAGCAGTTTCTTCATTGCTGCATCCAGCCATTGCAGAAATTTGATATTACACTTGCATACCAAAAATGAAAATGTTTTTGCTTGCAGGACAACATGTTCTTATTTGATGTGGAGAAAGAAACATTTGCTTTGAAACCTATGAACTGCCCAGGTCACTGGTAAGTGCAGTCAGGTGTTCTTGACACTAGTCAAACAATTAATTTGAATTACTTTTATGAAACTCTCATTAACCATTTGATATTTGAGGTTCTCCTGACAGTAAAGGTGTCCATCGTGGTCTCCTGGGATCGGATGGTGCTTGGCTGTGGTTCCTCCTATAATAACAAATGGCATCAACCCAGAAAACCGTAGTCGATGTTTACTGCTTGAACTGCAATGTTGCCTCTCACTCTGTGAGAATATAACTGATAAGTGTTTATAGATAAAGTGCTTGCAAAACTCTTTTACCTAAGAGGGTTGAGGTGATTGGATAATTAATGAGGAATTTCCGTATTTTTGCAAATCACCTTGTATTAGGATATCCGTCTTCTGGGTTATTGCGCTGTGTAGTCTGGTCGATGTTAACCAACGTTTCAGAGGTCATACTGCCTCCGTCATCAGGGCGATGAATATGCCAATAGGGTGTGAGGAGCTGGATTTATAGGCCGGGAAGTGAAAGGTGTAGCCTGCCCCGCCCTGATGACGGAGGCAGTATGACCTCTGAAACGTTGGTTAACATCGACCAGACTACACAGCGCAATAACCCAGAAGACGGATATCTTCATACTCACCGCTGTGAGAACCTCAAGTCTTACACCTTGTATTAATGTAGCAGATTCCTTTCCTCATGAAGGTTAGGTAAAAACTAGTGAGAAGAAGTGGGTTGACAGTATTTGTGTTCTTCTTACCTGCTTTAGTTGGGTTGCTCAGTACAGAGCAAAACTTAACAATTGTTGCCAAGTATAGCTTACAGCTGAGTGAGCTGGTTTAGGTTATACAATGACTAACTTGTAGTATGTGACAACACTGAATTGCTGCTGGCAGTACAAACATCTCACGCTGCTACCAAGCTGCAACGGAAGGCTGTTCCCACCTTGCTGTTTTGATTGACTTCATGTCCAAGTGAAGGTCAAGCTTCATAAGAAAAGAATCAAAGTGTAACATGGTGAAATCAATGTTATATTGGGTTGAGTAGGAAGGTTAAATGGGGATTTGCCTCAAAGCTGTAGGCACTTGGGAGTAGAGGAGGTATAGCTCCGACTCATTCTTAACCTCAACACTAAATGGGGGTGAGTGATCAGCATCATGCCCTGGCTGCACTTTACCCTCGGGATTGGGCCCCGGTACCCATTGGATAGGAGGCCGGTGGTCCCCAGAACTGGTCTGGATGCAGAGGCTAAAGGAAAAATTCTCTGCGCCCGTCGGGGATTGAATCCCGTTCGTCCAGTCACTATACTGATTGAGCTACCCCAGCTCCAATAGGCTTTGTTAGTAGCAGAGTTGAATTTTCAGGTTATATACCAATGGATTGTTATACTTTTAATGTAATAAACACTTCGTACATGGAGTTGTGTCATATTCAGTAAATTAAAATGTTTAATTATAGTCACATAGGTCTTTTATTGTTCTTAAATGTACAGGTAAACAGTGTCGTAGAGATGGGCTGCAAAATATGAACCTTAAGTGCCTCTCCTTGTGGAACATCAAAGTGACAGAAGGAAGTCTGTATTGTGGTTTTCTTGGTTTTGACACCATGAAGTCTTGTAAGTGGTTACCAGTGTTTCAGATGAAGACTGTGGTAAGTTCTTCTGAGATGCTGGTGATAACCTGCAAGACTATACGTGACAACCAGAAGATTGCAGTTGACATTTTCACTGCTGTGAGAAGCTAAAATCTCTAAGAATACTGTTTCTGTTGTGGATTGTATGAACATTAAGATTTTAGAGGAACCAAAATATATTTAATATTTGTGTGTTGTGTTACATAAAGTGCTCCTTAGGGTTAAATTTTTATTTCTTTGGTTATGAAACAATTTCGGTTAATTTTGTTTTTAGTTTGATATTTGATCAGGGAATTCGCTCTTGGCGAGAGCTTCCACTGCGCCTGGCAGATTTTGGTGTGTTGCACCGTAATGAACTCTCAGGAGCATTGACTGGGCTGACAAGGGTTCGTCGATTTCAGCAAGACGACGCGCACATCTTTTGTGCTGTGGAGCAGGTAATAAAACTAATACATGGACATTAGTCCTTCAAGGACTACAAGATTCTGTGGAAGTGTACCCACTTGTGTGCGACATTGTTATTTACTAATATTGTTGTGATGGGATGCGATTGTGTGTCTGTGTAACTGTGGCTGCTAATGGGCCCCATTGCCCATCTCCCAGAAGATACATGAGCAAATGTGGATCATCATCGGAATGATATTGGTGGGAAAAATGGACTGGTAGATAAACCTGTCCCAGTGCTACTGTGTCTGGCATGATTGAGTAAACCAAATACCATGCAAGGGAGTTGAAAAATGTTTATCCTTGTGAACTTTATACAGTATGCGTATTTGAAATGTATACAATTTTTCTGTAATGTTGCTTGTGAATCGAAAGGCAAAGGAATGAAAACTTAGGTTATATTGGTTTATTCACTGTACCCAATGCTTCATCTCTGCCTTACAGACATCTTCGAGGGTTCAGGCAACATGTCTACCAACGTAATCAAGATAACTATTGTCAAGATGTTTTAAAAAGCTTCTGAATATTTGTGCATTTAAAACATTTATGATAAAGTGAATAAATTATAATTTTTGAACATTTAGTATGTAAGTCATATTTGGCAGTGTATATTTTTGAATTGAATTTGTGTGCTGGTGAATATGAAAAAATACTATTCTTCCTTTCAGATCCGACAAGAGATGCTAGGTGCTCTGAACTTTTTGAAGCATGTGTACTCTGTGTTTGGGTTTAGCTTCCAGTTGGTGTTGTCTACAAGACCAGAGAAATTCCTGGGTGAGGTAAACATGTGGAATGAAGCTGAAAAGGTAAATGTACTGATCCAGAAACACTGCAACAATTTTAAGTGTATAGATGGCTTGAATGTAATTTTTAACAAAAATGTTTTTATAGCAACTTGAAGATAGTTTGAATGAATTTGGAGACCCATGGAAAGAAAACCCTGGAGATGGTGCTTTTTATGGGCCAAAAATTGACATCACAATATTGGATGCACTTAAGAGACCTCACCAGTGTGCAACAATTCAGCTGGATTTTCAGCTGCCCATTCGGTTTAATCTGGGATATGTGAGGTATGTTAAATCCAGACAATAATTTTACATTAATCAACAATGTGTACCGTGTATGACTTTCTGGGAGTACCGGTATTCTGTTTGTTAATCATTTAATTTGTAAGTTTACTATATGATATACAGTGAAACCTCGATGCATCGTTTTCGGCGGGGGTGGGAAATAAAAACGA